TTCTCTTTGCTTTGCATATTCTATAATTGTCTTAAAACATAAATTATATATTAATATTTATAAATTATTTAAATTTAATTAAAATAAAATTTAAATTTAATTTAATTATTATCAAAGTAAATTTAAATATAAATAATTTAATTTATCGATTAAATTAAATTTAAATATTTTTATATTTAATTCTAATAATTCATATATTTAATTAAATTTTTATATTTTAATTATTTTAATTAATAAAATATTTTAAATTCGAATTTAAATTTAACATAAATAATCAAATTTTTATTGAATATAAAAATTAAGTTTATTTTTACATATTAATCAAATCTAATTAAATAAATTTGAATAGTTTAATTTTTATTTTAAATTGAGTTCAAATTAAAAAAATAAAATTTAATTAAATTCGAATCGAATTTTAAATTTTAAATATCGAATCAAGTTCAAATTTAATATTTTATCGATTTAAACCTAATCGATTATATTCTTAATTGATATCACTTTTCCATGATTAAACTAATAAAAATCAGACTGCTTATTGCAAAACATTAGAAAACTAAGAAATACGTTTCCTTACTTCGATCTAAATCAGCCAAAAAGGCTCACAGGAGAAACATTAATTCACAAATTAATTTTCAAATTTCAAGCTTTATTTTCAAAATTCTTAATTTCCTCTATCATTATCTACTTAATTCATTTTAAAAAAATATTACAGATTTAAATTAATCTTCTCAAACTCGCAATTTTTATAAATCTATCCAGCATATATGTTTTATGAGCTTATTCTGTCATCCTCCCAATTTCCTTCATCTGTTATTAGTGTACATTGCAATAAGTTACTTTCGTGAATGAAAATCTCAATTTACTTTTTTAAAAAAATTGCACTTATCACAACTTCTTAATTTCTTCTTAAATATTCCTTTTTACAATCTTATTTATGATTTTGAATTATTATTAGTGTAATGTTTACATTGCAAAATACTATATTTGGAAGCAAGAAAAAGTCAATTCACAGTAATTTTCTTTTGAATTTAAAAAATTCACGTTGTTTCATGAGCTCAGCTCTAGCTCTAGCTCTGCTGCGGCTCTGAATGTTGAAAGACGCAAGAAAATATTAAACAGCTAATATCTTAACATGTCTCTACTTATAAGGTTTGAAGGTTTTTTGAGTTTTCCGATCTGATTATACAAACATACTCCATTTGCAGCATGTCTTTTTCACTGAGGTGAGGACCATCTGCAGCAAGGGTTGAAGCAGTTTTTTGCAGTACAGGTTCTTAAGTCACAAAATTGAAAATTATTTCAAGAATATTTCTAAAATTTCATGAAACTAAAAAAAAAAAAAAAAAGAGTACAAAGTGGAGGCGTTTGTTACAACCAAGATATCAACGTGCATTGCATCAGTAAGTGTTAACAATCTCTTATGTGAACAACAAATGCTTGCACAAGTATACGTAGTAGGATTTAATCAATATTTGTACCTTTATTTACAATTTTCCCTTCAAAAATATGTAATAATAATAAAAAAAACTCTCATTGCAAACATTCCTTTTATTGCTCTTTAGAGATGTATTGTAATGTGACCCCTCTTAGTTTACAGTAAAGTATATATTTAGATTGGATATACCAAGATGAAGTAGCAGAAACAAAAGGTATAGCAATATGAATTAACTTCTTCTCTCCTTTTCCGATTTGACAGTGAAGTCTAAAAACTGTCTTCTCTTTTGGAAAATGCTTGTTCCGGCCCGGGCCTTGATGAGAAACCTCCTGTCAAAAACCACAAGGGGTTGGTTGTCACAAATCCCAATGATAATGAATACTTTTTGGAAGAAGAAATTTGTTGTTTTCAGCTTTAATTTTTGTGTAATGGTTTTGGCATGGATCCATGTTGCTGAATTGCGCAGGACCTAACTAGGACACCAATCAATCTGATAAAACAGTCGTTTCCAGCTCTGAGACTTGGCGGCTCACATTACATGGGTGTAAGCCCCGGGACATCTTAGTCGTAATCTCCCCACCCGGATAATAGATTCTAGGAATGCAAGTGCTGACAAATCTTTTTACCCTACTATTCCACTTAATTTTTTCCCCTTTCCCTTTTGATTGGAAATTGGAGGAGCCCCCTTCTGTCCTTTTGAGCATGAAATGGATTTGATGACCAGGTTTGGTGTCGTCTTTTTATGATACGGATTGATTAACTTTAAACAAACTGGGCTAGTGTTATGCCAATTGTAGACATCATCACATTTGGGTTGTCAATTGTTAAGGGTAAGTTGGATCCTATACATGGTAGGAAGGCGTCTTTTTAACCTTTTATATTGGGGAGAACCGACAAGTGTAATGACGTCCTTAAGAAAAATCAAAACAATTGCATTATATATGTGAATTTCTTTTTCCTACTGTTTTCCTTGTAATTGGTTGCCATATAATACATTTTTTCATGGTGAGTACAAGATTACTTTATTACTTCTTCAAGATTCTATCGTCATCTTTGAAGAGATTAAAGAAAAAAAAATCTTGAATTATAAAAATCACATATGTTCATGATGGGTTTTGATGTCAAGGTATTTTTAGAAAAATAAAAAAAATGATATTTGGAGACAAAAATAAAGAATATTTTTTATGTTTGTTTTGATATACAAGTAAAAATAAGTGAAGTTTGAAAGAAATAATAAAAAAATTAAGAGTAGAACATATTTGTCTTAATAGTATCTGAACATTTATATTTATAGATAAATAATAAAGAATCATTAAAAGATAATAAAAATGTGATTGAACAAATATAACATTAAATATATTAGATCGATTTGACATATCAAATTTATATTCAAAATTATTCATAACTATTTGTTGAAGACTTTTATCATTAAAAAAAATTATTATATTTTTTTGACCACTAAATACTTTGGACAACAAAGTTTTTAAAACATACAGATCTTCTTGATAAAATTAACCTTTTGAAAATCTGTCCGCTGAAACTGGTTTCATGAAGAAGAAGAAGAAGCGAATGAACATTTGCAAAAGGATTATGTAAAGAATATTTAATGATACATAAGTAATTATCCAGAAAAATATGTAGGATAGCAGCTGCTTTTTACGTACTTTTTCATTTCTTACCCTATCTCCTGCATGTTATTTGCATCACCAACGGTCAGGATTCAGGGTAATTATCTCAAGAATCAGTTTCATGTTTTCTTGTTAGCTTCAGCCTAATTCAAAATTCAAATCCCCTTATTAAAAACAAGTTTATTTGTAATATAATTTTTGGAAACGTTTAATATCAAACGATATGAAATTTAAACAAAGGTTTAATGGTCGATTAATCCCAAAACTTAACAAATATTGCTTTGCAACTCGATCTTCTAAAATATTAAAAAAGCTAGGGGTTTCCTCTCTCTATTCCTCCGTATATGCTACTCTAGTTCCCACGCAAGACAAAGATGGGATTCATCCCTTGTGCTTAA